CTGATCCACCAGTGACTGGACCTTCCAGATACATGAGTCTTTTCTGCAATCACTGAGACACATTCAGGGACCTCAGATGATGCATTCACTGACTGTGGGACTTCTAGCACTGACTGGCTGAGCTACATTAGAGTCACTTTAAAGGGGAAGAATCAGTCACTTATTTTACTTTTTTGATGTGTTTACGTTACTGTGTAGAAATCTGTGTTTACTTTGACGTGAAAGAGTCTTTTTTTGTTTTTAATGATATCGCCATGAGTCGATGTTGCAAAACAGTAAAAGAGGGTTTAATGGTTTAATGATCAGTTCATCCTGAAACAGTCAACAGTGACACTACTGGTTGACTGCATCGGACTGGAGGACGCCAGAGCCGGATGAGAACCACGCAGACTGAATGTGGAGTTATAGAGTACTTGTGGGCCTGGACTTGCAGATTCCTGGAAAACTCCACTGATGGAAACAAAGCTCAGAGGAATGTGATTCTCAAACAGCCCCAGAGTTTCTAGTGAACCAGAGAAAAGCGGAGCCCTGACAAATATTTGAGTTATGAAGCACGACGCACCTGTTGAGGGCGTGTTGGGGTGTGCCTGTTACCACGGTGACCAACAGCTGACGGGGTGTTGGGATGGAGGAATCAGAGTCCCATCGACTCATCGGCCTATTTTTAGTGGAGTGTTTCCGTCAGCAGCAGCAGGTGGAGACGGCTGAAACCTCAGAACCAGAGCTGGACATGAAGAGAAGCTCAGCAGTGACTCGAGTCGTTATTTACTGACTGCTGCAGATTAAAATCACCAGATGAACCTGCAGTGTTCCAGCTGTGCTGTCCACATCCAGGATTCTCCTGCGTGGGGTTTCATTCGTCAGCTTTAAGCTCCAGCTGCAGTCTGCAGCAGCACGATGAGGATGTTGTGCTTCTGTTTGAGCTGATTTACAGAAAGCCAGTCAGAGGTTGAAACAGGATGGGTGCAGGTCGGCAGCAAACTCAACAAGTCTCCATTCAAGTCGTGTTCCAACAGCCTGGACTTTAATGCACCGAAACACATAGAAACCTGTTGATTAGGAACATCGATATTAACTCAAAAAAGCCCGGATGTTACTGGCCCTTGTAGAGCAGTTAGTAGAGCAGCTCAGTGGTCGGACTGGAGGGTTCGGGTTCGGGACGAGTCCTGCTACAGGTGTTGTGGAGAAGAATTACTTCTGACTAATCTGTAAAACCCTTTGTGTTTTCAGACACACAGCTGTGTATCCGACTCAGGTTTTGTTTGGAGTAAAGAGCTGAGAGCAGGCGACACGCTGCTGCTTCACCTGGTGCCATCACAGCGTCACCGGCTCTCCACCAATCAGCTCCCAGGAGGTCACGACCTCAGAGCAACGAATAAACAGCAGCGAGTTATTTTTAGCTGCGCTCATGTAACACCACTAATCAACTCCTGGTAACTGGTGCTGGTTAACTGGTACTGGTTAACTCTGCTGCTCAGCGGTGGGTTAAATCCAGCTCCAACCACAGATTAAGACGATCAGAGAAAATCCTGCCGCTAAAAATAGAGCAGAGCTCAGCAGAAACCTGAGTTCATCCTCAAACTTTCTGCTTTAACACAGAAAACATTCACACGATGCTCATTAGTTCACATTTAATGAGATATTCACACCTTTAAACAAAATTACTGAAAACTTGTCAAACAAGCGACCAGTCTTCATGCTGAGCTGGAGGTTTCTGGTCATTGTGTGAATGGATGGAGTTTATTCAACATTTATTTCAAGGTTCTTAGTTTTATGTCCAACTCCAGTCCTCTGCACTGAAGCCTTGGACTCCAGTACCTTAACCAAATGAAACAAGGCATAAAACTAAAGATGGATTTATTCAGTGTTCACGTTCCTGCTCTGGAAATTGATGCAAATGAGTGCATTTTGATGAGAAAATCCCTGAGCTGCATATTTAAGGTCTGGAGTGGATCCTGACAGTCTGAGCTGTGATGCTGCTGGCTGTCCAGCAGGGGTCCCTCTGTCCTCAGCTCAGTTCAGCTGGGACGGTGGAAACGCTGTGAGTTCTGTTTTCATTCTGCATCTGCTCACATTCAGTCAAAGTGTCCCTTTAAATCAGCAGAACTGCGAGAGCAGCTTCAGTGTGGCATCACGTTCAGACAAACCGCTGTGGAACTGCAGGAAACTGAAAACAGACAGATTCTCAGTGGACTTCTGAACTGTCTTATCTGGTTTCTCTGTGGGTTTCTGACGTCACGCTGAGTCTGAACACTCGTGTTTCATGTGTTCAGTTCAGATCTGAGTTTGTTTGGACTCAGAGTTTCAGCGCCCCCCTGTGGTGTGCCTGGTTCCGGGGTCACCTGTCTGAATGTGGGTCAGTCCACAGAGATCAGCCTGTAAGCAGCATCCCTGTCTCCCAGGGAGGGGGGTCCGGCCGGGTCCAGGACACAGTGAGGCCTTGTACCATGTTGCAGCCTGATGAAGTGGCTCTTAGCAACCAACACAGAGTCCATTCAACCTGGAGGAGGAACCGAACAACAAAACACTCAAAGCTGAATGCTGTTAAAGAAGCAGAGCAACATTTCCACTGCTTCTGCTCCTGAAGAGGAACAGTTCAGAAGTCCACTGAGAATCTGTCTGTTTTTAGTGCCCTGCAGTTTTACAGCGGTTTGTCTGAACATGATGCCACACTGAAGCTGCTGTAAAGAGACACTTTGACTGAATGTGAGCAGATAGAAAATGAACGTTTGTGTCAATACTGCACGAATTCTTTAATATCTTTTATGATTTTAGTCAACGTCAAATTAAAAATCTTCAACAAACTAACTGCAGCTTAGTGAAGTGAAGCTTTACATCCTCAGAGTCCCAGAGCAACCCGACTCAGACAGGCTCTCCATCTGACTGGACTCCATCTGACTGGACTCCAACTGACTGGATTCTGACTGACTCGACTCCATCTGACTCGATTCCAACTGACTCGACTCGAACTGACTCGACTCCATCTGACTCGACTCCATCTGACTCGACTGCATTTGTTTTGAACTCCATATGATTCAAATCCATCTGACTCAAGTTGACTTGGTGACACGTTCTTTGAATTGCTACTTGTAGCATCATGTGACTGAAACATGCATCAAGTAGATTTGGGTCGGTTTTGTTCTTCAGTCTTCTTCTTCTTCTGTGTTTTCCAGAAAGCGTACAGCATCGGCCACGAGCCTCCACCAAAGCAGCAGTGTGTGAAAAATGGGAAGCACCCAAAAGGCAAAGGTAAGTTTGTCCCCATGGTTACCATCCGCCTCAGAGAGCAGAAGGTCGGTGTCACAGGGGAAACACCAGAACACTGATTGTAAAGCTTCAGCAAACACTGTTAAAGAGAATGAGTTAAATAATCCCACTGACTGAGCTTCAGCTACCTGAGACTGGAACACACCTGGTGTGAGCTGGAGGTGGGGTTAGTTCACGTTGTGCTGTAGCCGATCATTAACCTTTATTTAACCCCAGAGCTACACGGAGGTGGAGGCCTCATTTACATCTCAGAGACAAAGAGACACACATTAAGATAAAAATGTACAAAACAGTTCGAGGAAAACTTAGATAAAATTATTAGCATTCTTGG